TTCAGAGCGAAGAAAGCTGTAGCCTGGGGGAATCCCTTCCAGCAGCCATGCTTGGCTCGGGTCTTGCCTTACGCTTAAGCCCCGGCAGGCAGGGCAGGGGGGGGGGGCAGACAGTGTAGGTATTAGTTCCAATTGGATCTATCGAGGGCCCGAGCAAACTCCGCGCCAGTGGCGCCCCCGCCGCCCTGCCCCACCCCCTTCCCCCACTCCCAAGCTACCAGACGAACCGAACCAAACTTATGAAATTCCCATCCCGGAGGTCCCCCGTCTGATAGGAGCCTCTGGGGCCTCTGGGGGAGAAGGGGCGCTTCAGACGCCAGAATTACAGCCACGTTCGCATATTATTTTCTGTTGGGCACCAGCCCGTCCGGTCCCCCGCCCCTCCAGAACTGCTCTCTAGATACGAGATGAGATTGTTGTCATTTTTTTGTCCCTTCTCTATGCAGTACACTACCAGCGCATCATCCACCGTGACATCAAGCCGGCCAACCTGCTGCTGGGGGAGGACGGGCGCGTGCAGATCGCCGACCTGGGCGTGTGCAACGAGTTCCACGGCCAGGACGCCTTCCTGTCGTCCACGGCCGGCACCCCCGCCTTCACCGCGCCCGAGGCCCTCAACAGTCGCCAGTTCAGCGGCAAGGTGACCGACGGCGTGACGCGGGCGGGCGGGCGCGAGCGCAGAGGTGCTCGTCCACACTACAACTTACCCTCTTACTCCTGTCCCCCGCAGGCGTGCGACTTGTGGTCCATGGGCGTCACGCTGTTCTCGCTCGTGTTCGGAGACGTGCCGTTCCTCGACGACAACGTGCTCACGCTCTACCACAAGATCAAGACGGAGACGGTGCGCTTCCCGGACCGCCCCGCCATCAGCGAGCCCCTCAAGGACCTCATCAGTCGGCTGCTGCTCAAGGACCCCGCCGCGCGCATCACCCTGCCCGAGGTCAAGGAGCACCCGTGGGTCACGGCCGACGGCGCCGAGCCGCTGCCCTCGGAGGAGGAGAACTGCGTCCTCATCGAGCTGTCCGAGGAGGACCTCGAGGGGGTCGTCACGTCCATCCCCAAGCTGGACACGCTCATCCTCATCAAGACGATGCTCAAGAACCACTCGTTCCAGGTAGGTAGCCTTGTGTGCGAGCGAGCGAGCTAGCTAGCTCCTCTGGCGGAGCCCCTGGGAGGTAGGCCGGCCCGGTGGACTGCTGTGCCGCGCGGGTCTGCCTACCCCTTGCTCTGCAGGCGCTCTCCTGACCCGACCGTCTCGCCTTGTTCTCCTTGCAGAACCCGTTCTCCGCGCGCGGGCCTCGCGCGCCGGGCGCGGCGGCCGAGCACCGCGGCCCGGGCCAGGGCCTCGGCCAGGGTCGCGAGTCGCGCCTCGGCCGCTTCCAGCTGAGCGGCCGCTCCAACTCGGCGCCGGGCTCCTACGGCTGGGCCAAGGAGCGCCAGGTGTCCGTCGACTACCCCTCGGGGCCCGTCCTGGCCGCCGTCAGGGAGGCCGTCAGGGAGGTGAGCGCGGCCGAGCCGTCCACTGCCTCCATCCCGGAGGGAGAGCCGGGCCGCGAGGAAGCTCACGCTGGTGAGCCCCCTGCGAGCGGCGCCAGCGAGGGCGCGAGCCAAGGGGCGAACTAACTTCACCCCTTCGGGCACCCTTAGCATCACTTGCTCAACCCATCGTAATCCATCCATGATCGACCGCCATACTCCATAAAAACGCCTTGTTTTTATTATTGT